ATGCGTCTATCGTTGGTAGGTATTATCGTAACATTAAAGAAACATTAAAGAAAGTATAAAATACAAATGCAGTAAAAGTTTATGCCCGAGCGAAATAATTTCATTATTTCTGTGCATTTTGAAACTTTTATCTATATTAATATATCTGAAGAAATGGAATCTAAATAGAAATTTATTCTATTTATTATATGTTAATTATATTATTTCTATATTATTCTATTAATTATATGTTATTAATTATATTCTATTAATTATTCTATTAATTATATGTAATATTTATTATTTTTAGCAAATACTGTACTCTGAATATTTTTAATTCTGCGTGTAATATTGTGCATTTTTCCAACTTTCAATTCCTCGCGAATTTATAAAAATTTATAAAAATTTGTCATTTGCTACTCTTACTTATTATTTTGCAGAAACATAAATATGGTCGTAAATTAGGTAAAAACACGTCTGAGATATTCATTCCTTCCTGTCAACGGCAGAATATGTGTTATCATTAGTCCTTTGGCGTGACGCTTCCCTGACGGTCTGAAATATTGCCGCCATTTCGTAGAAATAGAAATCTCGCGCGAATGGAGCAGCAACGAAATAAAGCTTTCGGTGCACCACCGTAGGTAGTAACCATCTGGCCATTCTTTATCTGGCCGTTGCTTTCAAAAGTGGAATTCCTCCGCGCCATCCACCATCCCGTATAGCTTCATCATTTCATTCGAAACTACGAGCTCTCCGCGTATGATCGCGCACACTATCGGCTTAATTTAGTCGCGTGTATCTAAAGCTAACTTGAATATTGAATCTGGAACAAATTATAGACAACTACATGAACCAACCTGAAGATAATTAGTCAATCCTACCGACGAGATTCTGTTCGTGTTTGAACTTCGATTCGTTCATTAATTCGATCGTATTTAAATTTTTGGAGAAAGAAGGAACAATTGTACGGCGTTCATAGTATCAGATCATGTTGTAAATATTGCGATCTTTCTGGAAGTGAAGCTTCAAATATGCAGGAGTTTCATAAAAGTTCGAAACACAATTTGATAGGAAAGAGATAAAGTTAGAGTTTAAAAAGGATGAAAATTTTTATTTTTACCTAGTATGTACACGAAAAAATCAATGACCGTGTTACTTATTGGATGGCCGATATTAACCTCCTACAAGTAACCTGGGGTTATGTTCTGAGCGAAATTGTGCTCGTGAATTTTTCAAAGCGAACTTTTATTCTTTCTGAAACATCTTCCAAAGATTTGGCTTAAAAACTGATCGTATAACGCACCAGAGACTTCATCAAATAGTCCAGGATTTTTAAAATCTACTAATCCTATGCGGAACGTTAAAAAAATATGTACACGAATCGCTCAGTTCCATGATATTTCAAGTTATATTTCTTGGCGCACAGTAACTTTCATCCAAATTCAAGATGAAAGAACGCGAGATGCAATCCTGTTCAGAAGGGCAATCGATCAATTTTCTAAAAGTCTCTCTCAATTTTAGTGTCAAGTATCTGCTTCGTAGTAACGATCAACCTCAAGACAGAAATTTCTTAAAATCAAAACAAATCGACGTCTATTTCTCGCAAACATCACATCTCTCTCATTCACCACGAAAACCGCGCGTCATAAATCTCGGAAGAATCGTAACCGGCTATTTAGGCTTCCCTGTTATTTTAGTTAGCCTAGTGTTCGAACCTGCAACCCTTCGGTGCACCTACTATCCTACCCTTGAAAACTGCTCTCCCGGGGGTTTAAATTTATCGACAACTGGGTAATACGACGCTTATATGCTTGGCCATATGTACGTACGGTTCACGTCTAGGTATACACCGTACCAGAAAAGCCGTAGGAGGTTGTCGAATATACGTCCGTGTATGTATATTATATATAATGGTGTGTATATACACGTACACGTAACGCATATATATATATAACCGAACGTTTAACGTGGCATGCCTCACTCTCTCGCGTCCCTTGGTACGAAACGACAGACGAAATTGGACAACGAACGTGGCTTGATGGTAATCACGAGGAACTCGATCGTGCGAAGCCTCGGTCCTCGATCGAGATCTTTCGAAATTGGCTGTATCACGTCATGCGAAGCTCGGCGTCGACGTTCTAACCGCGATTGCGGTCGCTGCTTTAATCCTCAGGCAGCGGACGCGCGATTCGTTTGGTTCTCCGCAGAGAATGGAAGAGATTCAGTTTTTCATGGTGATTAGAGCGTTGAGAATCGTACGTACGACACGATATGTTAAGAACTGAGCGTATTATATTTTTTATATTTGCAAAATAATATATAGAGGTGTGCGAGAAGCCGAAATATCGGGTCGGATCTGGAACACGAAATTTCTTCGGGATCGGGACCGCTACCAGAAAGTTTTAAGATTCTCGAATTTATCGGGATTCTCGAAAGAATCGGGATTCCCGAAAGAGTTGGGATTCGGGAAAGGGTTGGTAATAAGAATAAATAATTCGTGAAAGCCCACGCCTTCAACTATATCGAAAGGTCGCAGATCTAGAACCATCATTCGAGCAATTCCTTTTGTTATATCTTTTGGTTCAACAATCTTTCGCGTAGCCATTTTGTACATGCGACAAATTTTATATCGATTCAGTTTCTTTTCTGGTACATGTACTTACGTTCGGATGCGTATGCTTCAAATGGCGTAATAAACAATGTATGCGTTCCGCCTTTGTATCATCTTTTTCCTGAAAATGTTCCCAAACAGAGCTTCTCTTTATCTTCTTCCTTTACACGATATCTTCTGCACTACTTCCTCCTACCAGAATTTTACTCTCACTGTCACTCGACATTTTTTTGAAAGATTTTTAATCTGTATTAAATTTACACAAATTTTGAAATATACGTCTGAACTTCCCGAGTTTCTCAGCGATACTGCTTGACAGCGTACATAATGTCCAAGTACTAAACACGCAGTCACACGTTCGTTTACATCAGGTCACACGATTCTTATAATCCGTGTTTCCAATAACTTCACTGGCAGAAGAAATTAAACTGTGTATTTAAATAATTTGTAGGCTGCTATATAGCATTGTAGAGTAGTTCGAGAAACGGTAGCTGGATTCTCGAAATTTTCGCGAATCTCGACTTTTTTCGGGAAACCCGATTCCTTCGAGAATCTCGAAATTTTCGGGAATCCGACCCGACTCGATCTCTTCCCGACTCGTCCCGATCATCGGGTTCCCGATATTTTAGAGTTCTCGCACATCCTTAATAATGTAATGTTATTTGTTATTTATTATTAATACGCAAAATGTTTCGTAAATAGTGATACAGTTGTGTAGAGATTTGACAATACAAGTCAGAGGGAGAGAGAGAGAAAATAAAATTTTCTCGTTCAAGATTCCAGAAAATCGAGACTTACACGAATTGATAATATACGTAATAACACAACGAGGTCGGAGACGACTCTCTATGAAAAAAGGAGAAAATAAAAAATTTGGCACAAAATTTATTTTGTCCAGAGCTTTATCCCTGAGAAAATCGAGTTTGAAAATTCATGAAATATGCATACAGACTAACAATGAGTGCATGCCGGGATATCGTTCCACACTGTTCTCGGTTTTGTCCGAACTGGACAATGACGTGATTAAAATAACCCCGTTTCGTAGGTTTTTGCAAAATGGAAACGAACACAACGTTTCTCACCGACCGAGGGTGAAAAGCCAACTTGTGTAACAAGCTTGCGAAAAAACGGACAGGATCGAAGAGAAGAAACGATAGGAGAAGGAGGGTGGGATCGATGGCGGGGTCATAGGTGATTGCACTCAACAGATAACGTAATTACCATTCCTATTATTATCGTAATTATTATCGTCACGATGACCGCGCGTACCACCCGCGTCTCTATAATGTAGTACGTGGCTGTAGCGCATCGTCGGCGTGGCTAAATTAACGTTGCCCTGGTAATTAACGTTCCTTCGTGGAGTTGGTTCAAGTTATGCGGAGCACGGGGTACACCGCGTCGATTGGTCAGCGATAAAGCCCCCTCCTCCTCTCCCCGACCCAGAGATATCGCGTACGTATGTATGTATATACACGTATACGCGTTCCAACGTATTATTAAATCAGTCCTGGCGGGAGGGGGAGGGGGGAGGGGGGGGGAGATCTTGCTTCGATAGCCTCGATCGTTCGTAGGTTAAATACTTTAAGCACGGGATCAAGTTTGATCGACTGCGGCGACTGTCGCTTAGTCGATGGAAGATATACCTTTGGTGGATTACGCGTTGTTGAATTAGACTGTGATTGCGGTATCACGACGAACTGTCATTCTGACGAATGACAGTGTAATTTGAGTAATCTGTTGTGTAGAAGGACTCTGATTTCTCGTAGAAATATTTCTCATTTTCAGTTCGTGGTATCAAATTTTTTCGCAATCATACGATGGTGGTACTAGACGATACGCGATTTAAGATATTAAATTGGATTTAATCAATCCATTAAGGACCAAGTAATCATTTATTATATACAGTTTCGTGAAATCATAGAATCTATAGAATCTATAGAAATTATAGAAACGTGGGCAATTGCTCAGAAAAGCCTTTAGGATTTCCTATTCGTGAATTTAATAATATTAATTGATTGAAAAGAGTGAGCAAATGAAGTCTCGCGAAGTTTAATAGGTTAGTTAATATGACAATTAAATTCTAAATTAAAATTCCAATTCCGTTAGAATAGGACATTCGCTTTAACTGATAGTAACTACAGTTTTAATGTGAATTAGAGCTCGATGAAGAAACTCTTTTAAGATGATTTTATAGAGATGCTATTTATTTTCTGGGACAAAAGACTTCAATCTTTCGAACAGAAGATGGTTTGGGATTTTGGCTTTGATTCCGATCTTGGTCCTGTCGGCAATTTTACCTCGTAAATCTTGTATTACACTCTGAGAACTGTCTTGAGGGAGTTGTGCTTAATGGCAGGGTTGTAAGCACACCAATGAGGATTTGTTAGTGGCTGCACCTGTGTAACCTAGGGACGTTGCGTATGTCCTTAATTTGGGAAATTAACTATTCCATAATTGCCTACTCTGATTCTGCATGAAATCTAATGCTCGGGTAGGTTTGGGATCAGGATGCTCTGGTTGAATTAGCATTTCGGATAGTTAGATCGAAGAACAGAATTATGGCGTCATAATGATAGGAAATCAGGAGACAGATCAATAGGGAGATAGATCGATGATAAATGACAGATAGAGAAGCAGAAAGATAAATGATAGACACACATAGACAAATAATAGATAGAGAAACGCAAAGGAAGAAAGGAATAAAATTATAACTTAATGATGAAATTTGTATGTTAATGAGAAAATTTTTTTTTGGTGAGAATGAGAAAGATTTCTTTTTGTCTTTTCTCTATGTCTTTTTGAGATATACTTTTATTATTTATTATTGAAGAAGAAAAGGCTTAATAGAAAAGCTTTCTCTCAAATTTTACTTGTAATAATAGAAAAAGAAAAAATGAAACATTCGATTACTCTGGATAATGAATCGAGTTAATTTTTTAAAAATTATATATATTACTATATACTATATAATTTTAAAAATACTATATAGTATTTTTATAATACTATACATATTATACTATACATATAGTTATACTATAAAGTATTTTTAAAATTATATAGTATAGAGTATTATGTATTATCTATAAAATTATATAGTATACAGTATTATATAGTATTTTTAAAATTATATAGTACATAGTATTATATAGTATTTTAAAATTGTATAGTATATAGTACTATACAGTATTTTTAAAATTATATAGTACATAGTATTATATAGTATTTTAAAATATAGTATATAGTATTATACAGTATTTTTAAAATCACATAGTATATAGCATTATATAGTATTTTAAAATTATATAGTACATAGTTTTATATAGTATTTTCAAAATTATACAGTATTATATATAATTGTATTATTACTATGTTAAAATTGTATCGCTATGTATAATTATATATAATACTATGCTGAATTAAAAATTTGTTCCTCCACGGAGCAACATTTCCAGCGATACCTCTAAAATTACGAGCAGAAGATAGGTTAACAATGAACCGGTTTACGTTGAATTCGTTGCATCGAACAACCTGAGAACAATGCACCTGCCTCGAGTCTGGAAAGTACTTACTCGCGCCACTGCAGGGTGCTTCGAGATTGGCTGCAGCGCGGAGATAACGTTATTATACCGTTCGCAAAATCGCAGTTGCAGGTGCAACGTACGCTCTCGCGGCATATCGCCTGAGATAGAGCTGACGGTGCGCCGGACAAAATGGATTATCGACGACGTGACAAAGAAATGCTAAAAAGCAGCTTCACCGTGATTGACGCGATCATCACGGCCGAAACACAATGCAACGCGGTTGACTCGATTGGCCGGCACGCGCGTGAACACAGGAACAAAGAGAGTATGAGGGGGCGTGTGTATTTCAATAATACCGGTCTTCTTTTTCAACCTTGCGAAAGCACGAAACCGTTCCATTCATCATAACGTATGGCTTTCGTATTCTATTGTACGATGGAATTCAAGCCTGCTGGAAGCGTTGTTAATTAAAATTCAAAATACACTGTTGTACGAGAGGCATTTCTTTTCTTTTTTTCTTTTTTTTTTTTTTTTTTTTTAATGCTCGGTGAAGCGAAATTTTTATGCCCATGGTGAAGTAAATATCGGTCCTTGGTGAAAGTATTCGAACGTTCGTAGAATTTTTTTTATGAGTATTTTATTAACGCTGTGACGAGAGCCAACTATTATGCTTTATTTCAAGCTTGTGAAGTATAATAGAAATTCGTAGGGAGAGGAGAAGAATTTAAAGGGACTCATTATATCAAAACCTTCAATATTCAGAATGACTGTCTTTGACATATTATGTGTTTCAAATGATTATTCATGCTGTCTGAGTTTTACATAAATCTGCAATAAATACCTTATAATTTTAATTATAAGATTTATATAAAAGTTTTTCCATAATAAATTTTTGATCGTATTAAATTAGCGGATACTCAATATCACCCTGTATGAAATATTCGTCCGAGTCGATTAATGGAATAACGTCAAAAACGTGCAACGTCTGAGAATAAATTTCCGAATCTCTCTTTCACTTCTAATTTATTCCTATTACTTTCAATTTCAATTTCAAACTCTTACGTAGAAATTAATGATCAACTCAATCTTTGCACCTCGCATACAGATAAAATCAATAACTTCTTGACCGCGTTGCTAACATCCCCCTGCAGCAGAGTACACACCGTCAAACAAAATTAAAATTCACATCACCATTGTGATATGAGGCAAGCATTCATACATCCCAAGTACGCAGGAAAGATATATCCACGTTAAATCATGCTCCGATATCTTTCCGAATGTGTACCAATGCTTCAGATACGTACTGACTCGTATTTTATTTCAGAGCACGTTCGCTGCTTTCTAAACATCTCGCGCGAGGTGTAACGCGCGTCAGAGAATCAGTCGGTGACGTGCGCTCAGTATACATAAATACCCGTAGGTGTACCCGAGTCAAGGGTGGTTTGTCGCGCGTCGCGGCGCCTCGCGTGCAAACTATAACGTTCCCCGATAGAATTCGAACGGAGGGATGGATGTCGAACCACCCTTGAATCGGCCGTGACTTCAGGATTGGCTGGTGCGCGGCGATAACGTCATTACGTCTCTCTCTTCGTGCCGGCCGTGTTGGTTAGTCGTCGTAGTCATGGTATTCGTCATAGTTGCCATGGCAGTGCAACGGGAGAGACACGAGGACGGAACTATGCAAGGAATGCCGAAAGTTGGAGCCTGCCAGAGCGGAAAAGAGCGTGGGTCGCGTTCTGGTTTCGGGCCTGACATTTTGACGCTGATCCCCCCTCGTGCGTTTAAGATTAATTTCACGGGTGAAAAGCTCGAAAACCGGAGGTGGATGTTTCACTGACCGGTTGTTTCACCGTTCGTGTCGCCCGGAGAAAATTACGCGTTCGCTGCGTTACGCGAACGAACGTGGCGAAGGATAAAATTCGAGGCGGAGGAATTTTTATCTTATTTTTAGAAAACGAGATATTCTATTTCGGAGGTTCAGAAACCGTGTGTCTTGCTTTTA